ACACCTGTTGCCCCAAATCATGGTTCGCCTCTTGCGGAAACCTAATACCGCATAATTGCGCTTTGAACGCAAACAAAGCGACGGCGGATGGCCGACGCTGCTCGCGACGCCGCGCTGGACGAGCGGGCGGGTCGGTGGAGGGGGATGTGCGCGAAAACATAACTTTAAATTATCCTTCTCATGCGTTATTAATGAGGCTCATTTTCGCGAAACGTCGCTCTTCTCGCGCGCCGCGGCATTAAAATTCAAATTGTCATCAATTAACGCGTTGCGTATACGTGCGCGCGCGCGGTTCGTTTTCCGATTTGCAGTGACACATCTCTCGAATGGGTTTGGCGAGTTCGATGCGTACAGTGTGTGCATAGGAAATATGCGCCAAGTACTGCCGATCGATACGGACTTATAAGCGGATTAGCTCGGGCCGAACGTGAAGAGCATGCCGACGTTCGTCGTCGTCCAACGAAGCCCGCGTACTCGTCGCGTCCGATTAATACTTCGATCGCACGCGCTCGAAATTGCTCGAAATTATTAGGTGTAACGCGCTACGACGTATAATAACAGGCAGTTCTTACGATACCAAGATAAAATGTGTTTTTTTTAATTGAATAGATTTTGCACGCGTAAACAACGCGATGCCGAAAACTTGGCTTCACGCAGCCAAGGTTTCTCCCATCCGTGGCCGATCTCACTTTAATTACAAGCGCAAAGCTCCTCGCATAATTGCGGCCCCCGGGAGCGAGTAACCGACCGCTTACGATTAGCCGCGATCCGGAGAGAGAGTTCATAACTAGCTCGCGAGAGGAAAATGAGAAAGCGGCGATCGGCTAAGCTTCCGTCGAAATACCTTGAAAACATGCCGCTGGACCACGCCTCCCGCCGCAGTGGAACTCATTTGCTCTCCGTCGCTATGTTGAAAAATATCGGAAAGCAGAAGAGGATGACGGGAAGAGGATACGAGAGAAGGAAGAAGGAAAAAGAAAGAGATGTAACTTTTTGCAAATAACATTAACGAAGCCAAATTGTGATAATATTTGAATATTTTAGGTCGTTATGCAGATATTTGGAGATCGAAAAAAGCAAGACACTTGGGAGGAAAAAAGCGGAAGTATAGCTGTTCCATTGTGAAATGTCTATCGCGCGTCTCTTATTCCGCTAATTTGTTATTGTAGTATAATCTGGAATATTGTTAACAAGATGAAAAAACACGCGTATCTCCCTGTTACAAAATATATTCCCAGATGTATTTTAGACTTCTGTTCAAAATATTTACTAACTGAAAAATATTTCTCTCTTTGCATAGAACGCGTTCGGTGATCTCGGTGCGTCCGTCGCGCCGAACACTGCCATCGATCACCGCAATCGGCTCGCGGCGGCGAGTGATCCCGATCTAAGACGCATCGCATCTGCATCGGCGAGCAACGCGTTCTCGATTCAAGTTGCTGGAAGAGAGCGATATAGCGCGCGCGAAGAAGAGGAAAGAAAGGAGAGGAGGCGAGACACGTGAGAGAGACAGAGTGCGGCGAGAAGCGAGGTTGGCCGGCAATCCTAGAGCTGGTATTCGGACGTGTGTGTGTGTGTGTATGTGCGTGCCTGCATGCAGTCGTTCACGTTCGACGGCGTGTGCGTGCGTGCGTGTGCGGCTATCTAGAATCTAGATGATGGCAGTGAGCTTGACCGAGTGGCGCTTCGCGAGGCCGGCCGACGCCCTTCCTCCTGTTTGCTCGCGCGGCTCTTTGCTTTTTACACAACCTACCTATCGATGTAATAATAATATGCATATTTTAATAATTATATTCATCAACTAGACTATTACAGTTTGTTTCGTCCACTGAGGATTTCGATTTAAACTACTGCGCATCAACTCCATCGCAAGAATTGATGTATCATTGATACCGGAATTTCGTATCTATAATTAGTTATGCGTACTACCGAAACTCAATTTACATATTTCACTCTCAAAGGAATGCGGAATCACAAATTTGGCACATTACGGCACACGAAGAAAAAACGCATTCTGTGCCACAACTACGAGTTATAAGTTGAGCAATAGCTAGAAATTGATCAGATAATTGTAAAGGCTATAATAACTGTGAGAAAAGGTGTAATTCACGATATCTTTCTTGAACTACAATGGGAGTCTTTCGTAAAGGATGTATTTAAAAAGCTCTCGAATATATATTTTACGATGTCCGGCGAAAGAAGAAAATCGTTCAGTGAAACGCGTCATAAAAGTGAATTGATTATACCAATTGCTGTAGTTATACAAACAATTGTATAACCATAGCTTTTTTATCGTACTAACGAACTGTGTATCTATAATCTTTGGCAATTGGATCTTTTACAAAAATATTGAACAAGATTAAATTTAGCAATAAAATTAAGTAAAAATATTCACATACAATACATTGAAATTATATCTTTAGAATTTTAATTCCAAAATTTATTTTTCAATATTTATGCCTTCACAAAATATTCTTTTTTATATACAAGTTTATATAAATTATCTTTCCACAAATTTGTAAATCTGATTTAAGAGCAATAAATTCCATACATGATTTATAGAAAAATGGAAAATTTTTACTATTAAGATCAAGAGAAAGTTATTTCCTATTTTACTTTTTATTTGTAAAAGTCCTATATAATATTGACGAATGAAAAGAAAGCAGATGATTACAGTATTTTGTGCAATTAACGTAAGTATAATGAATGATAATTACAATTGACTTACCAATCGTTGCATTCTACTTAAATACACCTTCAACTGCATCTAAAAAATTGATATATATATTTTAATTATAATGAATTATTAATATATTTGATGTATGTTTATTATTATATATTGTTTAGTCATTTCCATGTTGATTAAGTTATATTTACATGTAATAAAGTACATCCATAATTATTAAAAAATTTTATAACGAAATTTAATTAATATTTTAATAAATATCTTAACAGATTTTAATAAATACTTAAATACAAATTGTAATTGTGTATGTCATTACAATTATGTATACATTCTTAAACAATTAATGCACGTATAATTATTAAATCGACAAATGATTGTACTCACTAAGTAGAATGTTGCAATTTGTTCCACCAGCTGCAGATTTTGCCTCAGATTCCGCTTCCGAATCAGCTTTATCGAAGAATCGATGAATACCGGCACTTCGTTATGCATACTATCGAACAAAAGTCAATCCGTGCACTTTGCTTTCGAAAATCACATCGGATTCACGTCGCGGCTTCGCCACATCACGGTACACGAAACGCAAATGTGAGATAAAACGCTCTTTATGTCGTAACGCGTTTACGCACGTAATTGTATCTGATATCACTATACATTCGAGGCGACATCCGATAATAAATGCATATTTAACAAAACAAGTGAAGCAAGTAACAATTGCTCAGGCGAATTTCCGGTAGAATTGCCAGTTACGAATGCGTACAACAGCCATATTCTATCTGATCTAATACCGACAAACATATGTACATATTTCCAAAATGTTACATCTAATGGAAAGTATGCCGGTACACACAAAGCGTCTGTAGCTTCGACCTTTATATACTCACCATGATAATTTCATTCCGATCGATTTCAATCCACCTAACCTAACCGGCATTTACGGATTGTCGCAAACATCCGTGGTAAACAGTACTTTCTAGCAGCCTCCCGTCACTTTAATCGACACTACAGACAAAAATTTATACTCGCTATGCACTTTTAATAGATAAAACACAACTAATCGCAAAACGTTCGCGTTTTATTTCTTGTACGTACCGTAGAAACCGTAACGGTAACCGCCAAAAAGATGTAAATCCGCGACAATAGTACCAATATTTTAAAGCTGAAATATGAAGACGCACGCCCTCTTCCAATCGTCGCGATTGTCCTATTTACATGGCGGCGACATATTTCACTATTCGATGATGCTGCCAATTGATGTTGGCCGCCCTTTTCGCGGCCGGTATAATAGATTGCGTAGTTGACCTAAAGAAAGCCAATGTATGTGAATTTTTTAATTTGGTAGTATTGGCATTGCATAGTTTTTACCAATCGCCATTACAATTTATAGTTTCTATCGTGTTGCTCGAAACACGTAGCGTACCGCGATTAATCGTGCATTTAAGCCTTTAAAAGCGTATAGTGAGTAAAAGTTTTTATCGGGAGTGTCGATTAAAGTCACAGGCGATTGCCGGAAAGTATTGTTTACCGTGAACGATCGCGAATATCCGTGGATTGCTGTGGATGGAAATCGACAATTGTTCCAGTGAATACAGATTCCGATGCTTTGCAGTGTAATCCGATGTGTAGTATAATTCATGTTAGATAACTACGTCTCGTAGCATGTCGAAAAATCAGACTGCTGAAATTTATTCTAGTAAAACCAAGCACAGTTGTGTTGTATTATATGCGCCGGACCTTGCGTAACTGCCAAGTGTTTGTCGTTTGTCTCGCTCGTTGCAAGTACGTGTGAAGTTTCGAAGTGATCGCCGGCTGGCGCGTCAAATATGTAAAGTGATAATCTCTGCTATAATTACACGTATAAATGTGTTTCCCTCAGAAGTTGCATTTTTATTAGTGAGTTTGCGTTTCGCGTACCGCGATGTGGCAGATTCTCTGAATTCGTGATTTTCAGATGTGAAGTGAAGTGATTGGCTTTCATTTGCTGGCGCGTAACGAAGTGCTGGATATTCATCGATTCTTCGATAGAGTGGATGCGGGGGAGTCTAAGGCAGAATTTGCAGCCGGTGGAACAAACTGCAATATCCTAGCAGGTGAGTGTTCACGATTTAAATACGTATATATATAATTGTGATAATGTATACAATATTATAATTTCTATTTTTTATTACATATTAAAATTTTTGAAGATATCGAGTGCAATATTTATTAAAATATCTATTGAATATACATAAAAGTTTTTTGATAATTATTCACGCAATTTATATTGTATATATATTTATGTTTTAACAAAATGGAAATAAATAATGCGCAATGTTCATGTACATAATATGTATGATATAATTTGCAATTTATTAATATTTCCAGGTATAGTTGAAAGCGTGCTTAGTTAGGGTACAACGACCGGTGAGTGAATTTATTCATTTCTTGTATAATTACATTGAAACGCTTGCATCGTCCACTGTTTTTTCATTCACTATTATTTACCATATAATTATCAAGAATTGCGCTTGAATAATCATATCTTTGCCTGAAATTTGCATTTTTTTAAAATGAGTAAGAAAATACCAAACTATTTTATTCTATTTTATTGATCATAAATGCACGAATGCAAATTTTGGTCTGTTGAGTACCGATTAACATGACACGCGATTGTCAGAACATATTATTTACCGCAGATGTTTGCGATTAACGAGGTTTGGTCGATCTGTATCGTAATTGGTGCACACAATCGTAATGAATACTGATTACAGATTTTTGTACAGAGTACAGATTTCGATATCGCGTGCGTAGATATATTATTGGTGCGTGATATATTTTTCATTAGCATTTTGAAAACATATGTTAGTTCGTTGAAGTTAGATCAGGTTAAACATAATTGTATGCGTGTCTGCATCCAACAATCTTCGTGTGACCATCAAGATAATCGTCGTTTATCTCGTTCATTTTGAATGCATATACTTGTTGAATGAAATTGCGGCTAATATTTAAGATGATAATAATATCACATGTAGCAAACTCGCAGCGTGGATCGACGTGTAAATATGTGAATAAAAATATGCGAATTTACTTTCGTCCACGCGTAGCGCATGCAATTAAGGTACAGGTTTCTAGCATTCATCGATTCTTCGATGGAGCCGATGCCGAGCAGTCTGAGCCGGAATCTGCAGCAGGTGGAGTAAATTGCGATATTCTATTTGGTGAGTGCAATTATTTGATCATTATATAAATATGTATATAATTGTGATAACACACACGCATGCACAATTACAATTATGTATCTACTTACACAACACGCAGTTCCGTCGCTCGCGCATTGCATCCACACCTGCGCTGAAACACCATTACATTTCCCTACGTCCGTGGCTACCGTCGGGTTAAGGAACCGACGCACCGCCGGCGAAGTCACGTCGCCGCGGGCGATATCCAACGTGCTACACATGAAAGCACCCGGCTCTATCTGCACCGCTACCGGAGTGCCGAGGATAGGATTCGCCACACCGCGCTCACCGACCGCGGGAGAGCATAGGAAAATGGCTTTTTTAACTTCCTCGAACCGGTATTCGATCGCTTATATTGCGTTGAAGTACGAATCGGCCCTTTGAATCGGCGCTTGCAAGTTATTAAGGATCTCTGCAGTTGATATCATACGGTACGATTAACCACTATCATATTATTATCATCATATTTCTATTATTTTTATTATTGTAAGAGAGATGAGATTGCTCTATTTTTATTTCTCGCTATCGCTCGTACGATGTAAAACTGTTATTCCACCCTTGAGTACCTTCTTGAAAAGCTCAGTTTTTTTAACTTGAAATAATTTCTCTAAAATTAATACTCCGTCTAACAGAAACGTCACGTTTTATCGTGCATGTGTATTGGGCGTTGGAACAGTGTTAATCGTTCGACGGCGCGCATCCGTTTCGCATCTTTCGAGCGTGATAGCCGGTCGAACGACTACTCGCGAGCCCGCGGTGCGAGCTCGCGCGCGATCAGGCGGATACACCTCTCTGGTATTTGGAACGTTCGGTTTATGCTATAAAACCGTGGGTGGAGCTAATTCTCCCCCGGTTGAGATTAGTCCGGCGACGACGTCTCCGTGCCTCGCGCATCGATAGGTCGGATAGGAAGGTTTAAGATCGTGACGCGAGATATTCCGAGCTCTCGGATTGCATTCCGACAAATCGATCCTCGGACGCTCGTGCGCTCGGATTCCTTCGTCCGTCCCAGAAAGAAAGTTCTCGATGCGACCTTTTAATAGAGATCGCATTGATCATCCGCGTCTATTTTACGAATAGTTGCAATTACGATTAAATTCGTTGCAATTCTGAGCATGATATTAAACGTTTGATTGAAGAGAAAATATTTCATATCCGTTTGTATCGAAGAGAAAACAATTTCGCTATTAAAATTTATACATTATTGACAATTTCAAAAATAAATAGTGCATTAAATCGCGATAAGTCTCGTTGCCCGGTGCACAACACCGGGTGTATCGCGACGTAATAATTATGCGCATATCTATGCGTTCCACGAGCGTTGTCGCGAGTCGTCGCGTCGAATCGACAATTCCCTGAAACCTATGATTTACTCGTTAATTATTCGTAGCTGGGGATAGGTAGGTAGGTAAGGCAGGTAATCGCGCCCAGCATCCTTGCAAGGACATCCCCCTTGGGGATCCCGCCGGCGGTGCAACAGCAGCATCGGCGGCGGCGACGGCAATGGCGCGGTGGCGCGAGACGCTCGCAGGATGGAAATTACGGCGAGTTCATTAACCATCGGCTGCGCGTTTACGCACGCGATCCACGCGAGAGAGCCGGGGATCGCGATCTGTTCCTCTCAGGAACCAAACAAAAAGAAGAAAAAAAAAACAAATCAACGGAATAAAAAAAAAAGAGGAATGGAGCGCGATAGGAGAGAGGCAGAGGGAGGTGGGAGGGAAATAGAGATAGACGATGTTCCGGGCCGAGAAGGAGGATAACACAAGCGGAAAAAAACGAACACACACATGCACACATACGCAATACACGTTTACCCGTATTCCTATGCGCCATGCGCTATAATCCAGGCAGCGATTACTCGGTCGTGTCGCGTCCACCCATTCTCCGGTGAATTTTTCCCGCTCCCCTCCCCCCCCGGCTCTCTTTCCCGCCATCCCCATCTATCTATCCCACCGCTCTTTCGCCGCCACCTCTCGCGGGAGATCAGCCTTTTTTCTTCGCCAACTGCCACGCCGTAACCGTTGTAATTAGTAGCTATCCCAGTTTAAACGTCCGTGGAGCCCGCGTGTGCGCGTACGTGTGGTGTATATAGCGCAGTCGCTCATGTTACCGCGGGGAAAAGCAACGAGGTGGCGCGGGACGCGAGCGGGAAGGGCACCGACTTACGGCGAGGGGGGCGACAGGGAGGATGGAGGATGAGGTAGCAGTGTAGGATGGACAAGGTGGCGGTGTGGGTAAACCGCACGCTGCCGTTGGTGCATAACTACGCGCTTATTGCACTATTTTCACCATGAGCCGATACACGTGTGCGCTTTGCCGCCGCCCCCGTGCCATCCTCCCTCTCACCCCGTTGCCCCCTTTGCACTCCCGCGGTGCGGGATCAAATACGAGGGCACGCGAGAGATCGACGGAGGCCGAAGGGGATGGAAGGGATGAATGTCGTCGACAAATTAGATCAGAACGAAGGAAGGGAGGGTTGGGAGGGATCGCTCGAAGAAGCTCGTCCTGTCAAAGGATCAACAGGCGTTAAACGCATCTAGGATGCACGCGCGTGCGATTTGCGGAACGTGGTGCGGGGCGGTGAAGAGGGGACAGGAAGCATAAGAAAGGGGAGATGGTCACTTTTTATGCAGCTAATAGTATGCGAACGACGATGTGATACTTGCTCGATGGGTTTGAATAGATAAGACGGCATGGGATAACGGCATGCTCTTATTAAATGCTACGCGAAGAGCGCGGTAATGAGAGATAGACTGAAGATTTGACTGTTAAATTAGCGTGTCTGCTGCGTAGGTTGCGCGCGGCGCAAGCGAGACATCGATGCCATCGAAAGAGCTCTGCGCTGATAAGAAAGAAACAATGCATAGGATAATTGTAGTGTAGAAACTACGCGTGTCGGATGATTTTAATAACACAGACATACTAATAATGTGGAAAAATGATGCTATATTCTGCAACGTTTTGTAAATGTTTCGACATCGACATTTTTTAAATAGATTGACCAGCATTGACGCACGGAGTAACATTTTAATTTTTTTTCTTGCGCATCTTTCTACACGAGAAGTTTGCCCCGAAGACATTAATAAGCGTACGGAAAAATGAGATACGGTACGTAATTCGCAGGCCGCTGCTTCGATAACGGGCGATTATCGCATCGCGCTGTAAGAAGCTTCTCTCTTCTCGCGTTGATGCGAAGCGCGGAGTACTTCGTCGGGAGTGCTCTTCGCGGCGTAGTAACGACTTTCTGATTAGGTGCGAAAGGCTTGGCAGCAGTTAATCGTTCCAAACGCTCCTCTCGGTAGCGCAGGCGGGGGAGCGTTGTCGGGTCATAACGCGACGAGATTCGCCGCTCGAAATCTTTGCATGGAGCAGCGAGCAGCCTCGAGAGATAACGGCTTATTCTTGTAGTTACTCGCGGCGCGAGGAGCATCGACACTCGATTGCAGAAGTTCATTAAACTCGGTAGGCGTGCCGGAGTTAAGGCTGCGCGGTTGTAGCGCGACAGTGTGCTAGATTTAATGTTGCATCGATGATCGTTGCGAACGTTATCGGAAAGTATCGCACTCGACGGCGTCTCGTCAGTATTTTCTCGCGGCGCTCCAACGCCTTATGTTTTCGACAGGGCTGCAAAAGCGGCGAGAGAAAAGTAGGAATACGAAACGCGCATAATATATGCTTTTAATTAAATCAAGTGTTCATTTTATAATGCCGCTATCAAGACTCTTCATTCTTCTTTTTTTTTTTAATTTAAATATCTCTTATTGCGGACGAATAATTATGCATGATTTTATTTCAACGAAATAATCACTCGCTGAACAATGTAAACGATGTAAAGCTCTCGAGAGAGATCCGCTTTCACAAATATTCCGCATCATCTCCCGATCATTCTCGTTTAAATTGCATCACGTGCGCGTCGCCCCTAATCTCCTTCGTTTCAGTGGCGCGAGAGTATCTTTTTGTTAATCGGAAAAAGAGGAGCGGCGGTACGCGCGTAACTCCATTCCGTCGTCGATGGAAACTTATCTCGATTCCCGTACAGAAGCCCAATCACTGTTCAATCATCGGCCTGGTCGATGGTTAATAATTTTCCATAGTAATATTCCGCGATAACTCTCTCTCGCCGGCTAACGCTATCTCAATTCTGGGACCTAGTGGAGCGTACCGCCGGCAATTGAATATAAAAATCCATGACCGCGTGTGTCCGTGCGTGCACACACCTCTCCGCGTATGCGAGTGTTCGCTCGCTCGGTTTTCGCTCGCTCGCTCGCTCGCTTGAGCGCGGCGCCGTGTCCGTGTCACGGACGCGTATACGCATCAGGATGACCGATCGTTGGCGTTTCTTTTCCTGCGCTCACTTAACCGGCTTACTATCCTGCACCGACACGCCCGTCAAGTATACTCGCTGATATACTCGGCTATTACTAGACCTAGGCCAAGTCCGCGCGCATCGAACGCGAATGATCGAATTGCCGAGTGTGAGATCTCCAAGATGTTTATTGTGCGAGCAAGCGCGGAAAATTAGAACGGACGGAAATACGAGATCTTGGCGATGCGTAAGAAATCTTATCAGAGCTTAGTCCAGTTCTAGATTCTGCAGACTAACGGTTGACGATAATTTTCGAAATATTCGAAGAATCTTGACGTAATTGATATTGCGTTATCTTGAAAAATAATATTTTACTAAGATTATCTATTTAATTATTTTGAGAATCTTGGAATCGATGGAAAGTAGACATGTAGCGTGATTTCTTTGAGAAATTTAGACTTGAGTTTTCTTTAGAGGCTTTCTTAAAATACAGCTTTTTGACATTTTTTTAATAATTAAGCCGTAAATCAAAATTTTATTGTATCTCAAGTTCAACAACTGACTCAATGTAAGTATTCTGTAAGATTTGTATGTTTGTTATGGCATAATTGACAGGTATCGAAAGGTGTGCCACTTGTAAATATGAATTGTATACCTTAGCATCATCTTCTGGATTAGGGGTTAAACACATCCGTCGGGCGAGCCTAGTTATTTCTAATGCTATGCCAGTTTTGCACGCATCCATCGCGAGTGATCGAACACTCCGAGAATCTTGCCGGTATTTTCTCAGACATGCAAAAGGCGAGGTAAAGTGCTTTTCGTGTCAAACCCGATTTCTGCAGAAAGCCAACGCAAGAAACTTTCGTCGTAACAGCAATTGGTTTAATTGCAAATAATTCTCCATTCCTTCCGCGAAGGAAAATGTCATTATTATGCTCGAATACTTCTGTAACGAAGGGATACGCTTATTGTCTCTTTCCACTCTTATTTCCTGTTAAAAAAATATACTGTTTGAAAAAAAAAACGTACGAATAAACGAGCGATTATTTTAATTATTAAACATCGTTAAACAATCCGAAAAAATTTAA